GGTTTTTTTCTTTCAATTTGTTTATGTGATGTATCACGTTTATTGATTTGCGGATATTGTACCATCCTTGCATCCTTGGGATAAATCCTACTTGGTCATGGTGTATGATCTTTCTGATGTACTGCTGGATCCGATTTGCTAAGATTTTGTTGAGGAAGGTTTTCAATTTCTTACTCTCTTCTCCTTCTAGTATCCCTATGATGTGAATGCTGGTACACTTGAAGTTGTGCCAGCTCCTTACACCGTACTCATTTTGGGAGATTGTTTTTTATTTTTGCTGTTCTGATTGGGTGTTTTTTTGCTTCCTTATATTTCAAATCACTGATTTAATTCTCACCTTCATCTACTGTTGATTCCCGCAAATTAGTGTATCCTTAATTTCTGCCTGGTCTTGTTTATGCTGTTGAAGTTCTCACTAAGTTCCTTGAGCATCCTTAAACCAGTGTTTTAAACTCTGCATCTATAGATTGCTTGTCTCCATTTTGTTTAGTTCTAAAAGTGGTGTTTTGTTCTTCTTACATTTGGGACATGATTCTTTGTCTCCTCAGTTTGGCAGCCTTCCTGTGTTGTTTCTATGTGTTAGGCAGAGTTGCTATGTCTCCCATGCTTGGTAGAATGGCCTAATGCAGGAGGTGTCCTGTAAGGTCCAGTGACAGCCTCCCCAATCACCCAAGATGGGCACTTGAGGTGCATCTACCCACCCCTGTGTGGGCTATGTACATCCTCCTCTTGTAATTGAACTTTGATTGCTGTTAGCAAATCAGTGGGAGGGATTTGTCCTCAGGCCCATCAGCTGCGACCACTGACCACTGACCACTGTGGAGGATCAGCTATGCAGGGGCCAACCACACAGAGCAGGACTTACTTCATCAGGATTCTGGTGCCTGCTGAGTCTGCCTCTTGAGTGTGTTGCTTGTGAAGATGGTTGGGTGGTGATGCTTTGACATATTCTGAAACTGTGCACTGGGTTCACTGACTCTGAGGCCTCCTGGGGCCACATGGCATAAGCTACAAAGCGATCTGCATATGGCTGCTACTTGTGCTGACCTTGAAGATGCTCCGAGAGGCCTAGCTGTGAATCTAGGGTGACTGCCTCAGAGCTGGGTCTGAGGCTACTGAGCAAGAGCTACAGGGCTTGCTGAGGCCATATTCTGCTTGTTTGAGAGATTTTAGGAAAAGCAGAAGCATGAGCTAAGGTACTAGGTGTACCAGTTAATAATGTGGATTTTTTTCAATAGATGGAGTTACACATGTTGATATATGTGCAATTTGATACGTATGCTATTTTGTTGTATTGACAGCAAGCTTCAAAACTTCATATGTCAAATTTGCTGAAGGTGTTAATATCACAGATATTTTTATGCTTAAAAATGTCCAATTTCATACCAAAAAAAGAGCATTTGTGACAAGTTTTAATCCATTACTTTAAAGAAAAGTGCTGCTGAAAGTTATCGTATACTTTGGGAAACTAATGGTGAACATGGTCCATCTCAAGA